CCTCTCGCCCTTTCGCACGTGCAGGGCTCACTATCTCGCTCGCTCGTTCTTCGCCCAAAAGGCGTTTTACTGGTACAATGATGCTGCAATAAGGCCTCTCACCGAGCCCTGCAGTTTATATGTTCTAGGGCATGTTACAGGGTTCGTGCGTCTCGTTAACTTTATAGTTGTCAAAATATAGACCGTTTGTTTAACAATAGTTGAACGGAGTCGCATTGTTCGGAGATCAGGAGTCCATTTTCGGGGGGTTTTCTTTGCAAGGCGGAATGATAATTCCACGACACAAGTGAGTTCGGCAAACAGCAACAGTATCTCGGAGACTCACTGACTTAGTGAGTCACGGACGGAGTCAATGAGTCACTTCACTCCTCGATAGACTCATGAGCTGCAGTAAATAAAGCCAAACTGATGAGACCTCATGCGTGAGGTGAACAACTCAAATGCGAGTTACTCCAACAGCAAGTTACACTGGTCTCATTACCAAAACTAAGCCCCATCTGCACTAAGCCACGGCAGTCGGCAGCATTGCGCCGTTCGGCACAGCCCTCCCCACAATCCGCCGCCGTTCGGTTCGGCGGCAGCTGCCGTGCACAGTGCGGCTGGGTGTCGCAGTCGGCTCCGGTCGCCATCTGTCAGCGCCGGGCGACCACTGTCAGCTCGGGTGTCAGCCGCGGGACGGCCGGCCATCTGTGACAGACGTGCCTGCCGGACAGACGTGCCCCGCAGGCCGGCCTGTGTGACAGACGTGCCCCACGAACAGACGTGCCTCCCGGACCATGTGCCTCCCCACCGACTGTTCCGTGACAGACGTACTTCTCGGGCCGCTGCATGTGACAGACGCGTTTTCCTGACAAACATGCCCTCCCGGACCGGTCTGCGACAGACATAACTCTGTGACAGACATACTTATAGTTCTCTGACAGACGTGCCTCCCCGACAGACCACATCTCTGACAGATGTGTCTCTCAGACCTCTCTGTGACAGTCAGGAACGAGTGACTGTGGGACTCTGATTGTGGGCGCTCTGACAGTGGGATTGTGATCGTGGGACTGGGATTGTGGGACTGTCATTGTGGGCGCTCTGACAGTGGGACTGTGATCGTGGGACTGGGATTGTGGGACTGTCATTGTGGGCGCTCTGACAGTGGGACCGTGATCGTGGGACTGGGATTGTAGGACTGTCATTGTGGGCGCTCTGACAGTGGGACCGTGATCGTGGGACTGGGATTGTGGGACTGTCATTGTGGGCGCTCTGACAGTGGGACCGTGATCGTGGGACTGGGATTGTGGGACTGTCATTGTGGGCGCTCTGACAGTGGGACTGTGATCGTGGGACTGGGATTGTGGGACTGTCATTGTGGGCGCTCTGACAGTGGGACCGGGATCGTGGGACTGGGATTGTGGGACTGTCATTGTGGGCGCTCTGACAGTGGGACCGTGATCGTGGGACTGGGATTGTGGGACTGTCATTGTGGGACTGTCATTGTGGGCGCTGTGACAGTGGGACTGGGATTGTGGAACTGGGATTGTGGGACTGTCATTGTGGGCGCTGTGACAGTGGGATGTGATCGTGGGACTGGGATTGTGGGACTGTCATTGTGGGCGCTCTGACAGTGGGACCGTGATCGTGGGACTGGGATTGTGGGACTGTCATTGTGGGACTGTCATTGTGGGCGCTGTGACAGTGGGACTGTGATCGTGGGACTGGGATTGTGGGACTGTCATTGTGGGCGCTGTGACAGTGGGATGTGATCGTGGGACTGGGATTGTGGGACTGTCATTGTGGGCGCTCTGACAGTGGGACCGTGATCGTGGGACTGGGATCGTGGGGCTGGGATTGTGGGACTATCATTGTGGGTGCTCTGACAGTGGGACCGTGATCGTGGGACTGGGATTGTGGGACTGGGATTGTGGGCGCTCTGACAGTGGGACTGGGATTGTGGAACTGGGATTGTGGGACTGTCATTGTGGGCGCTGTGACAGTGGGATTGTGATCGTGGGACTGGGATTGTGGGACTGTCATTGTGGGCGCTCTGACAGTGGGACCGTGATCGTGGGACTGGGATTGTGGGACTGTCATTGTGGGCGCTCTGACAGTGGGCTCAGACGGAGACGCTGTGGGCGGTGGCCGTCTGGCTGATGAGACGCTAATGCGATGTTGTTAGCACACAGTCTATCGGTCGACAGCACGCCCACCTTATACTAACATGACAAGCGTGTTTCGCTCCCCGATCAGTTCCGCACGTCGGCGGCGCTGCTTCGGTTCTCATGACTGCCACTGAAAATGGGCTGCGAGGAACAATATTACTTTGCTACTCGCAAGGAAGGCTCATGTAGTCGGCTTATACAAATACCGAATACAGAATATCGAATTATCTACATACTTATAGCATGTCCGATATATCTGTGCCCTGTGTCGGTGTGGAGCAAAGAGGAATGCGAATAAGGCATTGTTACGTTTCACATGCTTGAATTAACCTATATAGACCATATCCCACAGAGACGAATCGAAATAGGAGCACAACTGAACCAACAGCGAGCGAATTGACGCGGAGAAAGGCAGAATCCTTCCCGTGGTCTCCGCTAATCCCCCGCACCGATCCCTGACAGGCACCAGCACCAGTCACCCTCGCCGTGAGGGTGACAGCACCAGCCACCCTCGCCGCCGCGCCCTCTCGGCCCTTGGCCCGCTGCACGGTCGGCCCGCACACCTATCCACCGGGGCAGGTGTGACCTCATCGGCGGCACATGCGGGCCGCTGAGTGGGCCGAGGTCGGTTCGGCCCGGCCCGGACCGCGATAGTGGGGAAGATCAATGGAAAATCAGAGCCACATCTGTCCCACATGTCCTTCAGTACCTACCGTTTCTATAATTGCACCGCGCTTAACTGCAGAATGGACTTCGGGGTTTCTTTTTTTTCGACAACCGCTCTTACTCAGATCGTCCAAAAATATGTTGCACGTAAAAAGATGACCATGAAATAAAACTTGACCCTCCATTGTTTGTTAATGTCACGTTCGCCAAAGCCATGTCACATATAAATCCGCTGTTAAACTTATAAGCTGTAAAGCTTTTATGCCAATCTAAGACTTGTGCCTATCAAAATATTTGTGATAATGAACAATAAAATCGAGCAAACAAACAAACATATGTCAGGGTGCAGGCATCCGTCCGTCATATTCACGGTATATAATGCACTGACCAGGACACAGTTCGGGCTCACACGTGGAACAGGACCGCGCCGCGCCGCGCCGGCAGCTGCGAGTCGCCGACGTGCGTCACTTATCTGACATTTCAGTGCACGTGCACGGCAGCCCGCCCCTCCCCTGGTGGGGGTGGGGAGGGGTCAGAGGGCGGCAGTGACACAAATGGAGGGCCGCGGCACCTGCTATTTGACACTCGTTCTCTCACATTCAAAGGTATAATTAACTGTGTTTTGTGTGTAATCTGGGCATCCAGCAATGAAAAACCATCGTGACAATGTCTGTTGAGTGTGGTTATAAATTACTTATCAAAACATGTATTTTCCTTAAACTTTCGTGTCGTCATATGACATATAGTACAACATTTTATGCCAAGACATCACGTATAGGTAAAGCTATTGAGCCCTTGGTAATGAAGCATAATGGGGGATGATGGAGCAACGTGTGTAACGCTTTCGGTGATCAGTGATGGAATAAATATTTTGTAACGCACTTTATTGCTAAATTTAACTTGATTATGTGTAACATGTCCGAAGATGTACGTGTGAACAGAGGTAGGTATAAAACGGTTCGAGATAGGTATGTGTATTGTGTATTCTGCTGAAAGTGAATAGATCGACCTATTCAATAGGTAATGTTATTCGATAAACATAGAAGTTTTATTGGTTTGTCCTGAGACTTGCGCAAAAAAAAAAACGAATTAACTGATGCAGATTGGTTCAGCTCACTTTTTTCATTCAATTTATGGGAAAAAGTGGTGGGCTGCAAAGCCCATGGGTCATATATAGTTGAAGGACACATATACTGCTATCGAGGAAATTATCAGACATGTCTTCATTCTGTTTGCGTTGGAAAATATAAAGATGTAATTTGTGCCTTTGCTAATTGTTAGACCAGTGCTTTGCTGATTCAATCAAAGCTGATTGAAACACGAATTATTGTGGGAAATGCCGTGTAGTTACATTCATTTCAATTACTTCATCATCATTATCTCACTCCCGTCTGTTCTATATAATTTGTTCCCATGCCTATGACACCTCCAGCCTATGTTCTGTAAACAAAATCACCGTCTATTTGTCCACGCATGGGAGAGCCCGCCGGCCCAGGCTGACTAATTCGCCCTGTCGCGGGCGGCGGTTCACGAAATGACCGTCCGGTCGCCGCGGGCCACTTGACCGACTGGTCACGGCGGTGTGCACCCACGGTCTGCCGGCTGACCGAGGGTAATACGGAGCTCTAATGACCACCTGACAGCCGGCCCACCGCTGATGGACTCTGTTCCCACGGCACCTCCAACCCGCCGCGGACCCACTGCCAACAGATGGCGAGCAGAGAGGCGCCTGCAAACTGCAATGTTACTCAGGGCTCATTAAGAAAAATACAGGTTATACCGTATTAAGCATACCTAAGACAGTTACAAGACGTGAAGTGGTGATCGTCGTTCTATTTCCGTCTCGTAGGAAGCAATGAATTAGGCACTTAATCCTCAGTAGATGTAAGCCCGTTATAAGAGCAGACCCTAGGTAAATACCAATTATGTGTGTTATTTATTAGCAGCAGTGCATCTTTTCTGTCCCACCTATAGGTAAACCACTTTTGCAACGCAACGAAATGAGATTGTAGTAAAGATTATTGTTATTAAATACTACCGTTTAATTAATCGACTACTAACCAGCAAAAATAATCGACATTGTTCACGATTCACAAACCTACAGAAAATCCATCAACTCGCCAATGAATTCTAACAAAACACCGTCTCGAGGCGTAGAGAATCGTTTTCTTTTCAAAACACAGCAACCATTTCTAACAGCTGTGTATTTCTCGACACGTGACGGCGCCCGTCACGACACCGTCACCCACCGTGCACACACGTCACGTCACACTTTGTACTTGGCCACTCCGGCTACTAGACAGTGTCACACACGAGCACGACACGTACACAAACACGCTATATATAATTCATATCACAGATACAGATAACAATATACAAACACCCGCAACAAAAGATAGCGCCGCGGCTCGAACGGGCGACAGACGGCGAATCGGTCGGCTCACGGATGTGGTGTTTGCACGGGGAGGAGGGTAGACCGGAGAGGGGAGGGGCGGACAGTGTGCACAGCTGCTGCCGCGACACTCCTATGTGTTCAGCGGGGAGGGAGACACCCTCGGTCAGAGAGCGTTCCGACTGGCCAGACACTCACACCGGATTGGGTGGACAATGCAGTCGGCACACAGATGGGTCCGTGGCCGCAGCTGACGGACTGGGGATGGGACGCCAGAGTGGCCGAAACTAATGACCATTCTGTGGTTTTAACAATGCCAGTTAGGGGCTCCATCATTGTCACGAATGGTGGTACAGGTTTGACGATAACTTATGATATCTGCGACCCGTCTATCCGACGGGGTTCAACACTAAACATTCAGTGCGTTACACTGACGGATCCATGTAGAGGAGGCATTATGTAGGGGCAATCGTCCCTTCTGCAGTGTCAGCTATTGATAAAAGGGTGTCGTTTTCCTTGCAGAGAAAGAAAACGAGGGAACATTTATACGAAACAATTATCATTATGTACATTGCACCGCAATGCACGAGAAAGCGAAATCCGAGGAGATTTTAAAATCTTATGTTTTTGGGAAAATGCCCCTCGCAGCGTTCAATACCACCTTTCTGGATCCGTCAGTGTACGTACGTCAGTCAAATAAAATATCAGGAGGACGGTGCGGGCCGATCACGGGGTAATATCGACCCGTTCGAGCAGCCGGCAGCGGCTCGTTCATCTGTCACACCCGGCCTGTGTGTCTGTCACATCTGTCCCGTCCGTCCGTCCGTCCGGCTGTGGGACAGATGGCTGGGACAGCTGGTGTCCCCGCCGAGGGGGCGGCTCCGGTCGCCCCCCACCCCACCAACGGTCCCCGGGGGGACAGACCCGCAGATCGGCGGCGGACCAGGCGCGCTCCCAGCTCGGCTCCCACGTCGATCCGGTGCCGGTTTCGCTCGACGGGTCCGCCGCACAGAGGGCGAGCAGTGGTCGCAGGTGGCCGGCAGCCGGACGCACCTCCGGTCCGGCGGGCGGTTACGAGCCAGCAGCTGGCGGCGGCGGCGGCGGCTGGAAGGGATCAAAGCGAGCACGTCACGCCGCGAGCTGGTACGATGCGCCGCCGCAGCTGCGTCAAGGTGACGCCCACAATGGAGGGCCCGCTGAGAGGGAGCGGTGCGCTCACCAGACGCGGCGGTATGCGGGGCTGCTGCGGCCGACCGGCCCACACCTGGCGGCCCGCCGGCGCCCCACAGCCGCACAGGGCACAATTGAGTAATGATTTTAGATGACGTTGCAAGTTAGGTGGTCAGTTGTGTTCAGATGAAAGCGCTGTTTCGTGGCACCATCAAATAGCATTCATACTGCACATAATTTATGGCCGCAATTTACATATCACAAGCACAGCAAGCCACCTCTCTCTCCCATCCCTGCGACCAGAGGTCACCACCTCATCCCATCCCTGCGACCAGAGGTCACCACCCCACCACCCTACCCGTCGCCGCCCCATCCCCTCCCCGTCCCCATTCCGACCTCACCGCGTGCTCACCTGACCAGACCGGTCCATATCCTCCTGTGAGTCACCCTCGGTCGGAGCGGTCGGCGCCGTCCTCGCGTGGGCGGCCGTCCTGGGGCGCTCGCTCGCGTCGTCACCATTTTCGGTGTCCTCTCGCTCGCTGTGGCGCGGCAGCTGGCGGCCGAGTAGGGTGTCCTCCAGGTCACAGATGTAGTCGATGACATACTGAATCACCTCCAGCCTGGAGAGCCGCCGGTGTTTGGGCGCAGAGGGCACCAGGGCGGTCAGGCGGTTCAGGTACAGCTGCACCTGATCGGCACAGTCGACCGACGCCGCCCGGGCGCGGGGAGTCTTCATACCCGCTCGTAGTCGCGCAGAGCGACCCGTGTCCACGACAGCAGCCTTCATAGCTCCGCGGTGAGATTCTGGAACTGCGCAGCGGCGGACCAACGCAACAGACCCACAGCGACGAACTGCCCGCACAGCTGGCCGCGCTGGGGCGGCGGCGGCGGCAGCCGACAGGTGGCAGCCACCGAGCGCTGATTGGCTCTCCGCCCCGCCGGCTGACCAATCAGAACGGTGCCAGCCGCGCCAGGCTCAAATACTGTGACGTCATCCAGGTGTAATAGGGATGGCGTCACCACTCACCAGATTTACAACGGAAGTAGAGACGGCAGATGTTCCATCCATGCGATCCCCGGAACATTGAATGAGTCGGCCGGGCATAATGTAATGAGCGCGCTCATGTCTGGCCGGAAAGGCCTGGTTACGCACAAAGGTGGGAAATACCCATCTGCCTTTCGAGGCACACACTACAGTAAATTAAGAGCAATTATCAAACAAGAGCAAAGTAAAGGGTAGCGAATACTTACCTCCCTCGCCCACCCTCTCTGCTCACACCACCGACCACCTTCAGGCTGGACTCGCTCCCCGAGTTTGGAATGTCTCTCTCCGCCAGAGAGGAGACGTGGGCGCAGTCGCAGGTCAGAACGAGGTCAAGCACACAGGTCCTGTCGACGCCGCCCTCTGCACAAACGATCACTGTGCAAACACAGACCGGCCGGTCAGAGACCCAGCGCTCACAGAGCCGTCAGCCGGGGTGGTCGGACGTAGGTACTGACTGTGCACACAAACACCTGCAGATAGCCGGCGCCGCACAACCGGGCCGAGCCGGTCGGACTATAGCCTGGCTTGCAGTTCCGACCGGTATGGTATCCCGCCTATCCACGGCTGCATACAAATGAGGCTAGAGCGGGACCTGTAAAGCGACGCTTAACCCTTGCCGGACTTATCGGGTTTCTTCATAAGGAAGACGGCCGAGGGTAGCGGCGGGGGGGGGGGGGGGGGGGCGTTCCACATCGCCGTTCACATCGCCGTTTCAACCCTACCTACTTGAGCTGTGAGCTTCGCAGAAGAAAGCCGTGTGCGCCCTTACAAGGCGTAGTAAGTATCTGGTACTTACCTACACAATGTTAATTTTCAGGCCAGCCAGTGACCTCTGAGGTCAGAAAGGCCCCAAAAGCAGGAGCCTGCTTTGGTAATTAACTTCGTAAAGGATAATAAAGATGTCGTGATTTTGGAATTTGGCACCATCCTGTTCGTCATGCCCAGGCGCGTCGAATGATTACTTTTATCAGAAAAGGTCAACTTGGTCTTTGCAGTCGCTCAGGTCATAAAGTTTGTCGCATGAGGTCACATTGAATGTCAATCGATTCGACAGGTCTTTCGGGATCTATTGCTTACATAGGCGGCTATTCCGTTGTGCCTCACTAAATAAATTTCGCTCGGGAGTTACTGAAAATATAATCCGATGACCTGAAGCGAGCTTCGTGACAGTCCGTATTATCGTATACCTACCACAGTGCAAAACTGAATAATCGGACCTTGCGATAAATGCTAGGAGTATAGGAAACCACGAATCACGATTTCATGTGCTTGAATTAGTTGGAGACCATTTACGGTGTCAAAATATTCTTTTTTCATATTCCCTCCAATCTCCATTGACTTATCCTATGTCTTATCCCGCGCCCTGATGGGGGCATTTTGCCCCCCTGTGGTTTTTCTTGAATAGGGAAAAACGGCGCGGCGGTGCGCAGCGCCGCCAAATTTTCAGTACCTACCTTTCAAAACATAAAGTTAACACCATCACACAAACATTTCAAGTTAGGTATACCTAGGCCACCTTAGGTCAGGAGTTGTTGAGGTCAAACTGAGGTCATGTTCGAGCAAAAATGAGCTAAAAGAATGAAATCTTGAAACGCTCACAAAAGCTACAGCTAACGAGCAATTTTAATGTTCTTTATGTGGCCGTGTAGAGAAAAGACGGCGCTACAAAACTGCTATCTCGGATTTTAAAATTTTGTTACCTTGACCCCCCAAAATAAAAAGCATTTTTATTACCCATCGCATGTGTAGAGGGGGGGGGGGTCGGATGGACCCTCCCCCATGGTTTTTTTCGCGAATAACTCGCGTTTAAAGCGGCCGATCGCGACGAAACTTTCAGTACCCTCGAGTTGATCAATTTTACACCTACCTCTGAAAATTTCATGAGCCTGACCCAAGTGACCTTTGACCTGTGACCTATTTCTCGAACCCATGTTTGGCCGGAATCGCGATTCGGCGTATGTCGGCTCACATTAGCCGCGCCTTTGCAAGCTTTTCGTGGTTTCAAACGTTCAAATATGTGATTTGATGTTGCTCCCATGCATTTGGGTGGATGTCAAGGTCACCTGAAGGTCAGGTCAGGTCATTGAACATTGGTGACCTCGGTTCACTTTTTCGAGCTTTACGTGTTTCTAGGCTAGTTTTTTTAGCTGAATTCGAATTTATAAACTATTTGAACATTTACGAAGTAGTTTTGGTGCCTTCGTAACATGTTACGAAACTGCCAGAGGCCGTTGACACGTACTACGAATACCCGTCACGACCCCTACTGGATGACCTGACCTGACCTGACCCGACCTGGTCTAAATGCTTAAAGACATGATCTGTGATCAAACCTAACACGATATTCGTGATCAGCACCCTGATAAAAACCCCTAGCAGCCACACTTTACGACGTTCTAACAGGTCCCGATTTTTTAAAGGTTGCCTGACCCACATTATCGCATTTGTCCATAAAACATAAAACATTTGGACCATAAAACATGTATCACACGAAACTTCCGTACTGTGACCCTCAGTGACCTGACCTCTTTGACTTGATCTGGTATTAGTGACCAGTAGCGGCGGAACACCTTAACCTTCGCCCGTATTGGTGATTTTCCAGCCGCGAACGTATAAGGGGGGGGGGGGGGGTCCGTTGGACCCCCCTTGCCGTTTCGCCCCTGATCAAGCTAGAGCTTCGCGGAAAAAACGAGCCGAGCGTGTTGCCCGTGACGAGAGGAAACCGATGATACCCAATTTTAAGGTCCTTGGTCATCGGTTGACCTTCCAGGTCAGGTCAATGACCCAAAAGTCGGGAATATCGGGACCTGTTAGAAAGTCGTAAAGCGTGGCTGATATGGGTTTTTTTGGGGTGCTGATCACGAATATCATGTAAGTTTTGATCACAGATGATGTCTTCATGCATTTAGGCCAGGTCGGGTCAGGTCAGGTCAGGTCAACCAGTAAGGGTATTCGTAGTAGGTGGTAACCGCCTCTGACAGCTTCGTAGCATGCTACGAATGTGCCAAAACTACTTCGTAAATGTTCATATGGTTGCTAAATTCGAATTCAGCTCCAAAAACTGGCCTAGAAACACGTAAAACTCGAAAAAGTGAACCGAGGTCACCAAAGGCTAATGACCTGACCTGACCTTCCGGTGACCTTGACACCCACCCTAATGCATGAAAGCAACATCATATCCCATGTTTGAACGCTTAAAACCACGAAAAGACTGCAAACGCGCGGCTAATGCGAGCCGACATACGCCGAATCGCGATTCCGGCCAAACATGGTCTCGAAAAGTAGGTCACAGGTCAAAGGTCATTAGGGTCAGGGTCATGATAATTTCAGGGTGGGTGTAAAATTGATTAACGCGAGGGTACTGAAAGTTTCGTCGCGATCGGCCGCTTTTTACGCGAGTTATTTGCGAAAAATCGAGGGGGGTCCGTTCCACCCCCCCTATACGGGCGAGGGTTAAGGGAGGGGGGGGGGGGGCACTGCCGACTTTTGGTCCCATTCTTTCCATGCAACGCCCATAGGGCTAATGTCAAAATGCCAAAATCAAAGGGGGGCACGGTGCCCCGGTGCCCTCCCCGTTCCGCCGCCTATGTTAGTGACCTCAAATAGTAAAACATGTCTTTGACGGACAATTGCATATCGATGATTTTTAATAATATGCCTTTTTACTCGATTTTACAACATATTTCTTGAACTGTCTGTAAAGTGTAAACGGTGAAAATTCGATATTTGACCTGACCTGTGACGTCATTGGTCAAACCGAGGTCAATAAAATTGGGTCACTTCAGGGGCGTCGACGCGTAAGGAAAACTGGTCCGACTTTTTCTCGGGGGGCCCCCACCGGTGGGGGGCCCCCAGGTGTCGAACGGCTTCCCAACGTACATTTACATACATACATGAGTATACAAATGTATAGGCCCCCGCGGTGTTTAGCAGGGCCCCAGAGGCGCAGCAGGGCCCCCGAATTCTATAGCAGGGGCCCCCGTGGCCGCAGCAGGGACCCCCGTAGCCGCACCAGGGGCCCCGTAGTCGCAGCAGGGCACCCGCGGGTCGCAGCAGGGCCCCCGCGAGCCGCAGAAGGGGCCCCCGCGGTGTCTAGCAGGGCCCCAGAGGCGCAGCAGGGCCCCCGCATTCTGTAGCAGGGGGGGGGGGGGGCGAGCCGCAGCAGGGCCCCGCGAGGCGCAGCGGGGCCCCCGTGGCCGCAGCAGGGCCCCCGAGAGCCCCAACAGGGGCCCCCGCGGCCACAGCAGGGGCTCCCGCGGTCGCAGCAGGGCCCCCGCGAGCCACAGCAGGGCACCGCCTAGTCGAAAAAGTGGTCCGACTAGTCGGAAAAGTCGGACCGGTGTCGACGCCCCTGGGTCACTTAAGGTAGTTCCCAGTTGGGGCTATCCAACACCGTTTGATGCTTGTCGCTATGCTTGTCGCTATATTGTGTGGTTCTCGAGATCCCGGGGGGGGGGGGGGGGGCGGCAAAATGTCCATCTGTGCGCTTTGCTCGGCAGGCCCCATCGGCGCGGATTACGGGCCTAATGGTTGCTTGTTGACCGACTTCATCATGTGACTTTTACGTAAAAGCAAAATAATCGAGATGGGTAGGTAGAAACTAGGTAGGTATATAGGTATGCAAATGAAAGGACGTGGGAGCACATACGCCATGCAAGTTTTATTCCCCTGCGTACAAATTATCTGACCCTGAGCGCGTTGCGTCGTACGGGGCGATAAGCTTGCGATAAGCCTTGCTTTCATTCTTTACGAAGAGGTTAAATTTAGCTACACTGACTTAGCAATTTTTGAGACATTAAATGCGCAGCTGCGACAACAAAACACTTTGTTCACGACTTCCGTATAACGCCTAAACTAGCAGAGTAAGCTA